CATGGTTAAACCACTGTAAAACACGGTAATACCATCACTGTAAAACACGGTAATACCATCACTGTAAAACACGGTAATACCATCACTGTAAAACACGGTAATACCATCACTGTAAAACACGGTAATACCATCACTGTAAAACACGGTAATACCATCACTGTAAAACACGGTAATACCATCACTGTAAAACACGGTAATACCATCACTGTAAAACACGGTAATACCATCACTGTAAAACACGGTAATACCATCACTGTAAAACACGGTAATACCATCACTGTAAAACACGGTAATACCATCACTGTAAAACACGGTAATACCATCACTGTAAAACACGGTAATACCATCACTGTAAAACACGGTAATACCATCACTGTAAAACACGGTAATACCATCACTGTAAAACACGGTAATACCATCACTGTAAAACACGGTAATACCATCACTGTAAAACACGGTAATACCATCACTGTAAAACACGGTAATACCATCACTGTAAAACACGGTAATACCATCACTGTAAAACACGGTAATACCATCACTGTAAAACACGGTAATACCATCACTGTAAAACACGGTAATACCATCACTGTAAAACACGGTAATACCATCACTGTAAAACACGGTAATACCATCACTGTAAAACACGGTAATACCATCACTGTAAAACACGGTAATACCATCACTGTAAAACACGGTAATACCATCACTGTAAAACACGGTAATACCATCACTGTAAAACACGGTAATACCATCACTGTAAAACACGGTAATACCATCACTGTAAAACACGGTAATACCATCACTGTAAAACACGGTAATACCATCACTGTAAAACACGGTAATACCATCACTGTAAAACACGGTAATACCATCACTGTAAAACACGGTAATACCATCACTGTAAAACACGGTAATACCATCACTGTAAAACACGGTAATACCATCACTGTAAAACACGGTAATACCATCACTGTAAAACACGGTAATACCATCACTGTAAAACACGGTAATACCATCACTGTAAAACACGGTAATACCATCACTGTAAAACACGGTAATACCATCACTGTAAAACACGGTAATACCATCACTGTAAAACACGGTAATACCATCACTGTAAAACACGGTAATACCATCACTGTAAAACACGGTAATACCATCACTGTAAAACACGGTAATACCATCACTGTAAAACACGGTAATACCATCACTGTAAAACACGGTAATACCATCACTGTAAAACACGGTAATACCATCACTGTAAAACACGGTAATACCATCACTGTAAAACACGGTAATACCATCACTGTAAAACACGGTAATACCATCACTGTAAAACACGGTAATACCATCACTGTAAAACACGGTAATACCATCACTGTAAAACACGGTAATACCATCACTGTAAAACACAGTAATACCATCACTGTAAAACACAGTAATACCATGGTACTTTGTTAGTGAGAATAACTCATGTTTAATATCAACTCCTGACAGTTCTATTATATGAAATGTCATTTATAAATAAATTATTTGAATATAATCTACATGATTATATAGTCAGTTATGTACTAACAGTTAACTTGATATGGACTATTATTTATGAAATAGATGCTTACACACAGATGCTGTCTATCTAGTCAGTATTTTAGGGCATCACAGGCAAATGCAGCCTTTTGAGCATCTAAATTACACATACCCCATTATTAGGCCATTTATTTGATATGTATGCAGCATTTTTAGGCATCATAGGCAATATTTGATTCTGATAATGCTGTCTATGTAAGCAACTCACTAGATCTGAGCCACAGCCAAGAGTCTCCATCAGTTTAAATGAGAAACTTCTCCTTTAAATTACGATTAACCGTCCGTCTATACAGCAAAAACACCAACTATCCTAAATAAATGAGCTCTAGAAGCATACTGACAGCTCTGATATATTAACATGTGACTATTTGAGTACCGAAACAATGAATGTGACTTTTAAAAACATTTTAAAGAGCTGATCTCATGTTAGCAGCTTAGCTGGTTAGCTTCAGATGAGGCTGGTTCATTTATACACACTAAACTTCATTTAAACTCTTAAAATGTGTAGATGGTGGTCAGAAAGGCAGCAGAGATGTGAAGCGAAGGCGTTTTGTGTTGATTTACCTGTGGAAAGATGATGAAATGCATCGGAATCAGCGCATCCCTGCTGTCATGCTAATGCTAAAGCTAATCCCAGCCTCCAGCCGAACCGGGTCGGTTCTGAATCTCTGTGTGTACGCAGGAGAAGAGCTTCTCTTTGTGTGCTTCAGATGCTCTTTGGGTCAATAGATGATCATAGTTGACAGTTCCCCCGCATCCCTTCCTACAGACCCGACCCCGAACCGAACCTGCGCTGGTCCGAGCCGGCTCCGCTCAAACCTCCGCCTTTCCCAGCTCCCACACTCCTCTGGATCGCTGCTGGGGGTCTGAGAGGATCGTGATAGACTCGATGCGGCCGCACGGAACCACAGAAACGCGGATCGGCCGCCGATTGATCGCAGTTTCTCTTTTTGTTTGGGTTCGAGAAGGTCTGCGCAAAAGCCGCGCAGAAATAGCTCCCCCCAAACATCCCGCGGATCTCTGCCTGCGCAACGTGAGAGCGTTAAGGACTAGTTCGAGACGTGGACGCTGGAGTGCGGAAGTGCTCACATAAGCTTGATCTAATCACGCAGAGGTAATATGTATTTAATCAGGAAGTAGGGCTGTCGAGCAGCTAGATTCCTACTGAATAAAGCGAAAAGACTGTAATAACTATAATGTATGTCAGATATATTGCAAACCTCATTGACATGTATCTAGTTTACCTAACAGTAACACAGAGGTCAGGCAAGATCTGTCACACACACACGCAGATTTCTGTCTGTATCACATTTTTTGTATGTGTATGAATATTTTATACTGAATAATAATGATGATTTCAACATAAGTATACAGGAAGGTAATAAGCGATTTAAAATAATGTTATTTATATATTATCATGCTGCATAATTGTTAATTCATTTTCTTTCTCTCTTGTCTATTAATGTATATGAATTTACACTTTATTACTATAATATATATTAATTATATATATTCATAATTTTTTGTTAGTCATGCTGCATAATTTATTAATAAAAATCATATATTCATTATTTTACATTGCCAATTATCACACGCAATTGTTGAAGTAATCATGTAATATATAATTCTGTACTGTATAATATACAAAACAGATATTTAATTGTTAATTCAAGCTGCATAACTGTTGAAAAAAATATATATATAATTATTATTCAGTGTATATATATTTTGTTTTGCATTCTTTTCTAATTTCATTTAATGCATTTTCCATCTGAATAATTATGAGCATTACAAATTAAGAGAAAGGGTAAACATGAATGTAAGGAAAATCTAAAATTATTTTTGGAATCCTAGAGAGCTGATCAAAGGTGAAACGATGCATACTGTCATTATAGAATGTCAAATTCATAGATTTGCTGTACTGTGTTTGGTGTTCACAGGTGGTCCGGATGTCTCGTTCAGATGTGCTGTCTCTCTACAGGAGGGTCCTGCGCATCGCACGCAGCTGGACAGCGCAATCTGCTCTTCCACAGGACACTGACACAGAGAGGAAATATATCGCTCAGGAGGCTCGGACCCTCTTCAGACAGAACCAGCAGGTGTGCACTGACCTCAGATCAAAGATGAGCTGCTATAGGTCTCACATCTGTCCCGTTCTCCCATAACTTCTCTCTGTTACAGATAACAGACCCAGAATCAATCAAGAGATGCACTGAAGAGTGTGAAGCTCGGATAGAGATAGGTGTGCATCCTACATCAAATAGTTACTGCAATTTAATTATTGTCCTTTTTCATTAATCATTTTTTAGATGTTTGGTGTTCTCAAATAGCAGGTGAGCAGCTAAAAGTGGTTGTTTTCTGTTTTTCATGTCAGGACTGCATTATAGGAACCCATATCCTAGACCAGTAAGTAGTATCTCTACATATTATCATAAGCAGTAATAATAATAATATTACTATATTTGTAAATAGAATATGAACTCATCAAGAAATGTCCGTCACATTTCTCACAAATTGCTCAGAACTGAGATATAAACTCAGAATTCTGAAAACAAAAAGACGGAATTGAGAGAAAAATCAGAATTGTCAGATAAAAAGTTGCAATTACCTTTTTACACTTTTATTCCACGGTGGAAACAAAGAAAACTGAGTTGCGAGATGTAAACTTAGAATTCAGAAATAAAAGACAAAATTGTAAGATATAAACTCAATTGTGAGAAAAAATTCAGAATAGTTAAATTCACAGTTTGCGATTTCCTTTTTTCTGTGCAAGAAACAAGCTTCCATAGATGTGTTTTTAACTTTAATGAAAGTAATAGTTCATTCAGAAAGTCTTAATGATCCTAAAAAGGCTTTGTTGTCTGTTCTTTTGAGTTTGGGGTGAAATCTTACTTGATACAGGACATGTTCTTTGTCGTTCCCGTGAGTTTCACACAGAAGTATGTCGTATATATCTTCTCTCTCAGTCGTATCTTCCTCCGATGGGTCTGGCCACTCAGAAAGGCAGAAAGCTACGAGCTCAGGAGAGACTGAGGAAACAAGCCAAGCCATTGTACCTGCAGTCTCACGATGAGACCTGACACATACAGACTGTGCTGATTTTAAAGTGCTCAGAAGCACCCTGGAACATTATAAATTCTTGTCTGTTCATGTTATTTCTAGCTAAAATGACAGCATTATGAAACAGATCATAGTGAAGTTATTCTCACTGCCAGTGCAAAGCATGATGAATGTAATATTAGGGATAGTTCACCCAAAAATTACCAAAAAACTCATGTTTTTCCAAACCTGTATGAGTTTCTGTCTTGAATGGAAAAAAATAGTATGGAAGTCAGTGGTGGTATTTTCTTCAAAATATCATCTTCTGCAGATGAAAGGTTTGGAACAACATGAGGGCGAATAAATGTTGAAAGAAATTTCATTTTTGGGTGAACTATCCCTTTAATGGGAGCTGTTTTTTAAATTATATTTGTCATATACTGCATTGTATAAAGGGCTCAATTAATGTTGCATTTAAAGTATCTAGCTGTATTTCAATTAAAGTTTATTATTTTGTATGTTGAATTTACACCCTTAAATGGTTTGTCTCTGTACATTTAAGTGGCATTGAAGTTATGTTAACATGCATCGTTGTTTTATTATTCTATTCAATTGTATTAAACTTAACAATGATAGTACTGTAGTCTTGTATTATCAGTTTTTGGCGTGTTAAAATGTAAACACATAAATGCAAACTCTGATATGCTCAGTTGTCTAGTTGGCAGAGGCAGGCGACGCCGCGGTTGATCCAGTGTTTCTGTGGCTTGTCCGAGGGCAGCTCGATGGACAGCACGTAGTTTGTGGAGTGACCAGTGGTGGAGAGAGTCCCACGCCTGGCGCTGGTCTTGTACACGGGGCAGACGTAAATGCTCTCGTGCAGGAAGCTGGCGCTCTCTCCGGGCTTTAGCCAGATTATGGGCAGCGTGTCGAAGAGGACTTTAGGAACAGACTCACCGATAACCATGTGCTCTCGATCCCAGCGCGCTCCCTCGAGGAAAAACCCACAGACGTACGCACCATCCTCCGGCTTCTGCTCCATGTGAGTTTCCTGTTTACAGACCTAAAAGAGATGCACATTATTATATACATAATGGCTGTTTTTAAAAGAAATTAATATTTTTATTAAGCAAGGATGCATTAAATTGATCTGAAGTGACAGTAAAGACATAATGTTACAAAAGATTTCTATTTCACATCAATGCTGTTCTTTTGAACATTCTATTCATCAAAGAATCCTGAAAAATGTAATGTATCACAGTTTCCACAAAAGCAGCACAACTGTTTTCAACAATGATAACAATCAGAAATGTTTCTTAAGCAGCAAATCAGCATATTAGAATGATTTCTGAAGATAATGTGACACTGGAGACTGGAGTAATGATGCTGAAAATTCAGCTGCGCATCACAGAAATAAATTCTATTTTAAAGTATTTTGTAATAGAAAACAGTTATTTATACATTTCACAATATTACTGTTTTTACTGTATCTTTGGTCAAATAAATGCAGCCTTGGTGAGCATTAACATTTAAAATGAATCAGTTTCTGTATGCTCTCATTGGCACACAGACCTCAAACTCGAAGCCGATGTAGTCAATGGGGATGGTGTACTTGCGAGCGAAATTCTGAGACACACCAGTGAGGAATGACTGAGTGAAATAAAATGCAGATATCCAGAACACAGATGGAGGGCCATTATCAATCCAGTCCTAAAACACACACAAAAAGATGGCTTAAAAATTGGAAAATTCTTGGTTCGTATTGCAAAACTGTCCTAGGTAGTGGACAACTGGTTTTAATAATATCAGTGCACACAGTGATCAGTGCCGACCGAGTGTCCTATTTCAGCATAGTGCACACTATAAGACAGAAGTGTTTCGCCCTACACATATTTAAAAAGACTGTTCTTTCATGTTGATAATGACATTAATTGCAATCTAGGCAGGGTATAATTAACTGAAACTAAAACGGTTTAAAAAAACATTTTTGTTACTAAAAATTAACTAAAAATATTTCAAAACTCATTTCATTTTAGCTAGCTGGCAAGGCAACATTTCTCATATTCATTTAGTTTACCTAAATGTACTACAATACATAAAAATTATAATTAAAAACGAATAAAAACTATATAGATAAAAGCTAACATAAATGGCAAAAACACAATAAAATTACTAAAACTTGAACTAAAATTAAAAATGGAAAATACAATAATAAAAACTAATTCAAAATATTAATAAAATTATAATAGCAACTCATTTGACTGTATTTACCCTGAAACTAGGTGCATCAGTTGGTAACGATTTAAGGTTTTGTTTTGTTTTGTTTTTTTACAAACATTAAAGGACCATGAGCCTCTCTCTTGTTGTGTGCATTTGTCTTAGCCGTAACCACTAGTGTTCACCTGTAGGAACTGCAGTCTGGCGAGAAAGTCGGACACATAGCTTCCGAGGGGTTTGAGGGAAGGGTAGGACTTTGCGGCCCACATGGCTGGCACTTTCCCAACGAGAAGACTGTTGAAGACATTCTCCAGCTCGGCTGACATCACAACCTGCCCCCGAAGTGCCTTCTGGGTGTTTATCAGGCTGCTACGGACCACCTTTGACAGCCTGTACATTTATGTTGGCAGATGCTTTTATCCAATCAACTTGTATTGTATTAAATGTATAAATGTTATCAGTTCATGCATTCCTGGGAACTGAACCCATGACCTTGGCATTGCAAGCGCTACTGTTTGAGTTACAAGAACATAATGATGTATTATATGCAAATTGATGTAGGTAACGAATAAATCTAGTACCTGTTGAAGCGAATAAGTTCCTGCCGTAAGACGGTGTTCATCGACTCCTCATACAGGAGTGGGTATTTATTGGTCACCATCTCAATGTCAAAATCAGGAGGGAGTTTGGCCAGCATTCCCCCGGCCAGCTCGTCCACTATTTCCTGTGGACACAGACAAACCTACTGTCAGAAAGACCAGGTACACAAAACTGCCAATCATTTATCATTTATGATTTGCATCCTCCCACCTGTGGTGATTTGGCTCCGCCGCTAGTTTGTCTCGGCAGAGTCAGCAGCACTCCATCTAACAGCTGATTGGTCTCCTGGTTGTCTTTGGTGATGTTGGCATTGCTGTGGAGGCCAAAGACCTCAGGTTCAGCAGTGATGGGAAGGTTGCGGATGTAGTCCACGTAACTCTACATACAAAAGAGATCATCGGAGAGCAAGATTTTTAGTTAATAACAATGAAATTTGGGTCTGTTTTGTGCATAAATTTAAAACAAAACCTGATAAACAATTGATTCAATCTGTAAAATGCACAATTTATGTTGCCCTTAACAGTTAAAGCTTATTGTCAGTAAATTAAATGCATAAACGCATTAAAAATATATAAAATGAAATGAATGAAAAAATGTGTAAATAAATGCATACATAATATGAATGATTGAAACAAAATACATAAATAATTAAAAGAAACCACACAAATGCATGCATACATACATGAAATCAACTGACTTCACGAAACTTTTAGTACCAAGAGACTACTTTTATGATACGTTTATGGCACTTTTTGGCCAGTCACTGTCTAAGAACCGCTTAAAAATCCCACTAAACATCTTCACAGAAGAAAGAGGTCACAAGTCATACAGATTCTGAACAATATGAGGGTGAGTACATGACAGAATTGTAATTTTTAGGTGAACTATCAATTTTAACATCAGTAGAATCCATGTAGTTCATCAATGTCAAATGTTTCTCTTTTAATTGATAAATATGAGTACACAGTGTTTGTGTGTACCTGGTATGGACCGTGTGATGGCACATAGTACAGATCTCCCTCACACACACAATACTGGTCCTGTTCAATGAGCTCCCAGCTGTAGAAGATGGAGAGGAGGGACATCAGCAGTCTGCGGTCCTTATCGTCTGTCACCCTCCCACCATAATTACACTCTCCTACAGATAACATGAGTACAGTAGGGTTGAAAAAATGACTTTTGTCTAAACAAAATGTTAAAAGAAAGATTTTTATACTATGTGGTTGCTATGCAGTTATTGAGGAGAGAGTGGCTTTTAGGACATTGCTATGTGGTTTCTAGAGCATTCTGGGTGGTTTCTTGGGCATAATTAGGTGGTTGTTAGGGTGTCCTGAGTGGCTGTCTGCTTAATCACCGGTCAGGTAATTGAGGGCCTCTAGCGGAACCTCTTCATACTCATCCAGGAACATCTGGATCTGACGAATGCTGATTCTCAGGTCAGACTCATTAAACTCATATGGAATATTCCAACCTGCAGAGAGACAGAGACAGAGACAAAGAAAGAAGAATGAACACAACTTTGGAGTCACAATAAAAAACCCTGGAGAAGACAAAAGTCATCTCGGACAGGAAATTCCAGTATTGATTATGAGTCTTAATAAAAAAATAAAATTAAAAATTCAGAAACTTGGCTCCCATATACATTGATGATTAATCTTCCTAATAATTCCCAGATCATCAGTATAAATAAATAAAAATGAGTTATATTAGAATAGATACATACGTTTGCTGAGAAAGGTGCAAGTGGTGCTTAACGTGGCAAAACTCGGCACTGTGCAGTTACTAGGGTCTATTTTATAATGTTTTTTAAATTATCTATGGTTTTAGCACATTTTAACACTTTGTTCATCGCTATTAGCAAGTAGTTATTCACTGCTAGCACTGTAGCATTTTGGAAGTACTGTTTGCTAGAACGAGTCAAAAGAACCAAGTCCCATGTCTATAAGATGTTCTGATACAGAGATATAGGTCTTGCTAAATGGTTGCTAATGTGCTCCGTTTGGTTGTTAGGGAGTGGCTTGTCAGCTGGCAATGGCGATATTCCAAAAGCTGCTGGCCAGTATGAATTATATAAACCAACCCCCCTGCCTCTTATGACATTCGGATTTGAAGATATGCCTCTGGGTTCTTTTTCTAACTTCGCTCGGTGTTTCACTATGAGAATCGTTTTGGGCGTGACCAACTGCAGAAGCTCCTATGAGACCACATCTGTCTTTGGCAGACAGGTCAACCTGTGACCAGGCTCCGCCCCACCTATATCAGTCAGGTCGACCCCTGCCAAAGTCATTCGCGCTTTCTTCCCATGGGAGACTGTAGCAAGCTCTCTCAGCACATCCTGACTTTGCTGATTTCGCTAAACTGTTCAACAGACGGGCCGTCATTGGACTCCCGCCACCGAACGCGAGGCTAGTTGGATGGGATTGTGTTGAGTGATATCCTAACAATTAGAATAGTGTCCGCATCAAGGCGAGCTATTCTAATCGGCCTACTGCGTATTAAATTACTGCGGTAGGTGACATTAAGTCAACTAGAGGTTTAATGCGTCAAGGCGAGCCTTCAGAAGGTTTAATTACCTTAGACCAGCAGGCTAACGTGTTGTGACGAGTCTGTGGATTGCATTACTTCTGTGGTTGCATCCCGCCCATGTCCATCCTCATGTGGAGCTACCATCTCGGGCAGGGACCCTCACCCCATGTGCATTGTGTGTATGGGTCCGAAGCACGCTCAAACGTCGCTGGCGGATCCACAAACATGCGCTCACTGTGTGTCATTGCCGTTGAAAATCTTAGAAAGGAGGCTGAGCGTGGCAGTGGCTAACAAGCAGGACCCTTGTCTGTCTGGAGCGGCCACACAGTCTGCGGCGGCTGACTGTCTTGACGCGAGCCAGTACGAGCTGGGCAGACATGATGGAAGCCGAATCCCCGGATATGCCTCCACTGTTTGAGGGCCTGCTCACGCAGGAGGAGGGTGATCAGGAGGACGAGGATGCAGAGGGCGATGCTAATTCTGATCTCATCGATTTGGATATGGACAATGAAGAGAAGGAAGACAACTCCCTCTTCCCCGTCCAACAGTCTAGGTCTCCGAGCACGAACAACTTGGCATTGCAAGTAGACAGTAACTTGCATGAGGTATGCAAACGAGCCGAGGCGAAATTGGGCCTAGTTTGGCCAAGGATGCCGAAGGAGCTGAGAGGGACCTGTATGATGGAAAAAGGTGCTCCTGCTCAGCCTGGAGTGAGACAACTCCTGCCTGCCGTGCCTGCTTGCATGAAGGAAATGTCCCGCTACTGGTCTAGCCCCTTTAAAAGCAAGCTCCCTACCAAGGGGTGTTCCATGTTGGAGATTCAAGGGATGGGGGAGCTGGGGTTGGCCGGATCCCCAGCGGTAGAGTCTTTAGTGGCCTATCACCTCCATCCGAATCGGCGCTCTATTTCTGCCTCCTCTCAGATTTCGCTGCCGAGTAAAATGGAGCGGCTGACCACTTCGATATATCAGAGGATGTATAAATACGCGGAGCAGTCCGTGTGCTCGCTGAACGTGGTGACTTTACTGTCAGCGTATCAATCGGAGATTTTGGAGGAGATGGGGCTGCAGCTGGACTCAAGGGCTCGGCACTCTGGGACGAAATTTGCATGGTGAACGATCTGATTCTGCACTCTTCCCACGGCGCGGTTCAAGGCTGTGGCCGCGTGATGGGCTTGGCTGTGTCAGGTGAGAGAGCGTTATGGCTAAACCCATCAGGCTTGGGCGACACGCAGAAGTCAGAGGTAATGTAATTACCTAATAATAATAATGTAATGTAATGTAACGTAGCAGCACCGCATCTAGTGGGTTCAACTGGATAGGCTAACAAAAGCATTCAAATGCAATCAATGACACATACATCGTCATCGCATCTCGTGCGCCACTGATAAGGCTGCCTGACGGCTGACGCAGACCTTAAATTCGAATGCAACGTTTTTGCATTCAAATGTGAATTTTTTTTTTTAATTCGACGAATATTCGAAATTAAATATTTTTTGACAGCCCTACTGTACAGAGTGCAAGAGCCTCCTCTACTCGCTCACTTTATAGTAATAAGTGGCGAGTCTTTGAAGAATGGTGTGAGCAGGGTCATATTGTCCCTTTTCAATGCTCAGTGAGGGATATTTTATGCTTTCTTCAAGATCTTCCAGATAAGGGTAAGGCTTTCTCCACCGTTAAGGTGTATTTAGCAGCTATTTCAGCTTGTCATGTAGGTTTTGGCGAGAAATCGGCAGGCCAGCACCCTTTGATTATTTGGGTGATTTTCCCCCTTTGTTGATTTTATGGGATTTATCCATCGTCCTAGAAGCCCTTTCTCAATACCTTTTTGAGCCATTGGAGGGTGTTGGGCTTAAGTTTCTCTCTTTTAAGATGGTGCTGCTCATAGCCTTAGCAACAGCTAGGCGTGTGAGTCACTTACAGGCTTTGTTTGTTAGCCCGTCATGTTTGCAGTTCGCTCCAGGGCTCACTAAGGTTTCCTTTCGTCCTAACCCAGCTTTTGTGCCTAAGGTATTTGACTCAGCATATTGGTGCTCATCTACTGAACTCGCAGCTTTTCACCCTCATCCATTCTCTTCTCCGGAGAAGCAACATTTGAATTCATTATGTACAGTATGGGCTCTTCATATGTATGTGAGGAGAACAGCAGGCTTTAGGACTCACGACCAGCTGTTTGTGTCATGGGCTACTCTTCACAAAAAGAAGCCGTTGCCTCGTCAACGGCTGTCTCACTGGATCATAGAGGCTATATCTTTAGCTTATATCTGCAAAGGTATTCAACCGCCTAAGGGCTTGAGAGCCCACTCCACTCGGGGGATGGCTACATCTGTTCAAGATATTTGTTCAGCAGCAAGTTGGGCTACGCCACATACTTTTGTGCGGTTTTATAGACTGGACGTGTCTGAGCCATGCTTAGCACATGCAGTGCTGGGAACCGGCAGGTCGGTGCCCATTTAATTGTTTTGTTGGATAGCAGTGATATGGGTGCAATCCGGGAGTGGTCTATATCTCCTATAGTGAAACACCGAGCAAAGTTAGAAAAATAACAATGGGTTACTTAACGTAAATAAAATTTGATAACAGATTTAGGTGTTTCACCAGCACTTCCCTCCCTTGCATGGGTATGGGAAGATGGTTGCAAGAGTGCTCTAAATGTTTGCTAGGGCATGGCTTGATAGCTTCATGATGATCATGAGAGACTGACTGATTGTCTGAGTAAAATCAGCCCAGCCCCATGTCTCTTTGACACTGTGATCAAGAGTTATGTTCAATGCAAAATTCCTGTGGAAGTTACCAAAGTAGGAAAAATGCATGTGCTCAGTTCCTTACTATAGTATGTTTAAGGGGCGATTTCGGCTGGCTGTTGTGCCTAAGGGGTACAACTCATCACGGGGTATGTCCTCAAACAGCTTGCCAGCCTCTTCAAATGTGGTGACCCACACGTTTCTAAGAAATTCTCGCTCAGAGCTACAGGCCATCAAATTTGGTCACAATATTAAGTCTATGGGATTTTCCCCCTGATTTTTTGCCCACTGTGCGAACATCGTATCCCTGATCACGTAGAAAAGTCATACCACACCTCACCTCAATAAGCTTCATGATTTGATGCCTCTTTCATGGGTCTATGACAAATGGTACGGGATGAGTTACGCACCAAAGTTTGTATTGAAGAAAAATTATAAAAATCCAGCTTCGCAAGCACCACTAACAAGCTTGCTTTTATAATACTGTTTATAGTTTTCAGGAGAATCAATCTATGAACTTATAACTGCCTCAGCCTATTAAACTGCCATTTGATTGCAGTACTATAATGACTGTTTAGAAAATATTAGATCAGTTAGATTGACGATAGTATGCCAGAGTTTCACAGAAGATTGTTTAGAGATGGATGGTGAATCAAATGAAGGATGACAGACAGGAAAGCAAACTGCATTACAGATTCATATCTGACCGAGTGGGCCGAATGTTCTCCTCTCCTGGACCAGAGCGTGGAAGAAACAAAGGCCGAACAGCAGCTTCTGCCAGATGTCCTGCTTAGCGGAGCTGCTGAAGAAGGCAGGGTCTGAGATGGGGTCGCTGAGGTAAGAACGCAGTAAATTTGCCCTCAGTCCTTTGGGAGGCTCGTTCGTCATCTTCACCCCATTCTGCAAAACACTCACTGGAAACTTGTCAGACGGCTGACTGGTCAACCACAACCTAAAACAAAAGGAGTTTGGAGTTTGGTTATCAGTTTAATTACTAATATAATTTCATTTAAAGGGGTCATCGGATGCGACATGCACTTTTACAAGTTGTTTGAGCTGAAATGTGTGTTGGCAGTGTGTGTACACTACCACCCTATAATGATAACGATCCACCCAGTGTTTGTTTTTAATCTCGTTAAATCATTTCCCCTTTCTCATATCAAGCCATTCTCAGATGCCCTCCCATGATTGTTGATTGACACTAGCGTTTTACCTTAGACCCGCCCTGAGTGAGCTGTCATCAATCCGCCATTGTTTCGATGCCGGAGCAGATGTAGACAAGATTGGCTCATAAGTGATTGAGGTGTTCTGTTGTTGGATGTAATAATGAACATAGCAGTCGTCATTTACTCCCAACATCGGAGCAGTGGATTACCTTTGTTTTTGAAGGGAATGCACCGATCCCCGATCTACTTAAATGCGTTTATGTTCGTGCAAATCATTCGTTATCCAGCCTCACCTACAGAAGAAGTGAGTATAAGGTTCTTTTATGAATCTTTGCAAACCGCCTTTCCTAATAATGTGCTAGTTAGCAAGTTCCGCGGCTAAAGTAAAAAGTCTCATGAAAATGGCTCGTCACCCCACGGAAGAGAGGGACGGGGTGAGCAGAGCTCATTAGCATTTAAAGGAACATGGACTAAAACGGCTTGCTGAAAACAGAGCTGATTTTGACAAAGTAAAAAGGGTGTTGTTTTACACTACCATTGAGAAATTTTAACCAAAGTATGTTATAGACTTTTCATTAAGACCCTAAAGAATCATATCAACTTGTGGAAAATGGGCATTCGATGACCCCTTTTAAGAAGTACAATTTTAAGTATACATAACGGTAGTATTAATTTTACTGCCTTTTATGATTATTTTAATAATATTATAATATTAATATTATAATAATTAAAAAATAACCTTTTACACTAATGAGAATTTGAGAGATTTAGTTTTTTGTTAGATTTTGAGATTAAACATGTCCTGGATATGTTCTTTATCTTTGTCATGTATCCACAAATTTTAACTCTGTGCTGAAATTAAGTGTGGCCATAATAATTTATGTGAAACGGCACAGTGTGTTAGATGCACATGTGTTGTTATTTTTACCTGAAGCTGGTGTGTGTGTTTTCAGGTGTTATGACCTCCTCACAAATCTTCTCCAGCATTGGCATCCAGCTGGTCGCGAGGTGACAGTTCTGCAGCACAACCCAGGTGCCGTCGGTCAGTGCTGCTCTGATCAGCTGCTCAGCTACTGGACCTTGACCCTGACCCAGAGAGATCACCTGGGTCTTACTGCCGCCCATTCCCAAGTCATCTGCAAACTTCAGAAGTCCTGAGTAAGACAAAGAGTGTAAGAACATAATTTAGTTGTAAATGTTTAGTGCTGCACTGAAACAATCATATATTGTTATTCTATGTCTTATAATATTACATAGAACGCCCAGATTTTACATTGGTCTTCAAGCAGCAACCCAACATTTGAGTATCATATTACAGAAGTAAACAAAAGTGTGCTTAAAGTCAACTACAGAAGTATATTAATATTAAAAATAGATAATAAACAACTAGAATAATCATACAATTATTTAAATATTTCTACAGCCAATAATTGACACCACAAAACACATGGTTAGAACCAAAGACTATAGAATACCCAAAATATGTCATTGTATAATTTGAATGGGGAAAAAATTTAACACTCAATATGGCCACTCTATCAGTGTACTGGCTGGTCTAGCCTGAGAAATAAGCTTTTTCTAATGCTATTTTACCAAAATAAACAACATTTATTATACAGTTGTCATATTTCATTGGTGATTTCAATATGAAATGTAACCGTAAGCTTGGCGAACAGTTTTGGAGAATTTAATGTTTCCCCATTCAAAGAGATAGAAGCTAAACTTGCATGCCCGAGAGGAGTTTCAAAGATGGCCGCAGAGTGACATGACTTGCCTTAAAGGGACTTTGTTAGAATGTACATTGTATTTGCCATTTTCTACCATTTTAGTTTCTCTTTTGCAGTTTCACTTAATATTGAAATATTAAAAATATTAATATTATATCTGCATTTATTCTGAAGAGTAACAATCGTAATCCCATGATATCATCAACTAAAACTATCAACAAACATTTTCATTACTTTAAATAAAATAAACTGAAATAAAATAAGATATAAAAAACGTAAACTTATTTTATTTCAGCTAGTTCCCATGGCTACATCTCTCATGCTTGTTTAGTTTAACTTTAAGTACTAAAAAAAACAAAATCTAAAACTGCAATAAAAATTAATACAGACTATATAGGTTTATTAAAATGAAAATGGAAAACATAAAAATTCTAAATATTAATAAAAACTATAATAGTATATTGATTAATGATATATAATAAGTTATTGGCTTAGCCCTATGTTCAAAAACAATCATTGAAAAAAAAAAAAAAAATCTTTCTATTTTACCTGCTGTAGGGTCTGATCCTGGAGAAAGGACGAAGATAAGTGGTGAACAGCAGTAAGAGTCACTGTAGCTCTCCGCCAGGTCAAAGGTCGGTGGCTCAATGTATGTCCGGCTCATTCTGTCGACGATGAACTGTTGTACCGCCAGCACAAGTTTATCTGGTCTGAAGCAGCGCAGCACCACCATGCGCTCCATGCCCACTACTGTGCGCCATTTCCCGGGTAACTCCTCGTCCTGCGGATGACCAGAGTCGTAAATCTGCTTCCACTGTGCGATATTCTCCTGCATGTGTTCAAATAATCCTTCCAGGCAAGGAAGTTGAGAAGCCCGAACCACTTCGGACCACGATTTATCCGAAAGCCACTCCGGGGCCGGGTTGGGGTAAGGGTTTTCCAGAGCAATGCCTCCGGTGAGAAGAAAGCGCCAGACGAGATCGTCGACCTGACCTTTGCCCTGCATAATGCCGACGGTCAAAAGCAAAGAGAACAGCAGCTTGTCCTTCTCAAACAGAGAGCGGCACACGTTATAGTAAACGCGCATGGTGAAGTGATCCAAGATGTTAGCGATGCGGATCTGTAGGTCATCGCTAGGCGCGCTGTGAGCGATGGACTGCAGGTACAGATTGATGAACCACGTGAGAGAGTATTGGTACATGGGATCGATGTTCGCCAGATCCGAGATGCAAAAGAACAGAATGGATGAGTGTTCTGCAACCGGCCGGTAACCCATTCGAGTTTCGTCAATCTCGTTTTCAGTCACACTCGCAATTTTCTGCTTCTCGGAAATCTCCTCTGACAATATTTTAGATGACGAGAGAACCTTAATAGCAGTTTCGTCTTCTAGGATGTTCCCTTCAGAAGAAGAAAGGACCTCCAGGATTTTGTTCTCGATCTCCTTTAGCTGCTTATTGTTGGCTGCGCTTTCGAGAATTAGCTGGTTTTTCTTCTCCTCGAGTTCTGGCTTCTCTTTAGCGGCGACGATCCCCAGAAGCTGATCTTCCAGACCCAACGGCGTGATCATGAAGTTCAAAAGACACACTTTCACCGCCACCTCCGGCAAGTAATGTGGATTCCTCAATCCTGTTGTGATGTAGAACCGGAAATCGCTTGAATACTCCACAGTGTTTTCACCAAGTTTCATATACTCCACGCCCTGCTGCTTAAAGGTCTGTTTTAGGAGAACCGGCTCTAAAATTGCATCCAGCTCCTCCCCAACGTTCTCCAGGAGGACTGGCGTGCCGAACTGGATGGCGTTCTCGAGGGTACGGACATAGTTGCTGTCTGAGAGCTTGATGATGGACAGTTTATTGGCCTTGTTCATGTTTTTGACCCATTTGTTGGCTTGTCCCTGTGGATCGATCATGAGTGGCCAACGGCGAGAGTTTGAGACAATAATTCCATTGTCGGTTGAAAACGCGTCCACTGGTAATCCAGCAATCTGCCACGATCGGATCAGTACCTGGTTTCCGAGAGTGTTGCTAAGTGTGAAATCCTTCGAACATGGTATGTTTTTCTCATTGCACAGCTTGTGCCACTTTCGCTGACACTCCACGCGGTAATCGACAGTGAACGCGCCAAGATAAGATACCATAGCCGAGGACAAAAGCACATCGCCGGTAAGGTTGGTGTATTTGATGCCAAGGAGCCGAGCAGCCTCCGTCCACCTGTCTTTTTCTCCTCCCAGACCACCGATTAGTTTTTCAGCTCGTATTAGCTTTTGGGAACAGAGCTCTATGTTTGCTTCTAGGTCTTTTTTCTTCTGTATCATGCCGTCGAATGTGTCATTCAGCGCCTGCAGACGATCCTCCACCTCCTTCAGCTCGGCACGTTTCACAGATAACTTCTGCATCTGCACGGCTAACTCCTCCTCTGCTTCCTTTAATCTCACTTGCTTGGGGGCAACGACTTTCGCCACACGTTCGTATACTTCCATGGCACGCACCCATTTGCAAAGGCCCTCACAAGCAGAAGACACGCTTTTGATTACTGAAGGCTGAAAATCTGGGTGGTCTATGAACTTTTCTCTGATTTTCTTAATGTTAGGTGCAGGTATGTTGTCTTTATCGAACGTCTTGAGGCTCTCAAGGAACTTCATGTCACCAAGAAGCTTCTTAGATTGTCCCCAGAAATCCTCAACCATCTTTCCTGTGCAAATAATTTCAACCAAATGTATTTAATCGTCTTTAATAATAGAGTGTGTGATATATTTCACCTGTGTTTCTCATGTGTGCCACATTCTCATACCTGATCCACCGGGGTCTTGTTTCCTCTCTGGTTTAATGCCCTTCATGACACAGATGGACTCCATGACCAGTTTGACAGGACCAGGAGGATTCTGCATCGTCTTCAAGACAGTAATATCAGCCGGCTTCAGTGTATCTAGAGCAGAGAGAGCCGCTTCCAGTGCTGGCATCGCTTCTGCAAGATCTCCCTCACACTCATCCTATCCGACAATAAATTAACTGATATAAACTTCTCGATCATAACGTTAACAAAATGTCCTAATACCCCAAAATCTCCAACTGCTAACCACTTTCTGAATCTCCTCAACTGAAAGAGTGCAACTAGTCCACCAACATCATTAAAGACTTGTAAATTCCTACATGCCAATATCTGTTTATCTATTTATGTATTTTCTAATTTATCAAGTAGATTGAGAATTGAAGGAAAAATCAGCAACATGAGAACATCTGTATTATTTTTTTCACTTGCATAGCTAAAATTTTAGGCCAGAAACATACTTTAAACAAGTATGTACAAATAAATGTTAATACTTGGCCAACACTTTGAATGCAATCCTTTACTAAATGTCATTATATTATATAACAGATATGGTTTTGTCCTGTTAAGAATTGATGTTGTGTAATTAAAAGGGTTTGCCTGCATGGATAATTTTTGTGAGCCTTAGACAGAAATGTACTGCTCTGATGAACTGAAATACATTTTTCCCATCTGGTTACCTTGATCGCTTTAGCAGCAGCTGCTGCTTCATTGGCGACTTTCTCATCAGCACTGACAAGCTCTTTCTTAGCATCCACCTCCACTGTCTCTTTCTCTATCTTCACCATCATCTGATCGGTCTGTTTGGCTGTCTCGATCAGTTCTGGCTGAAGAGCTGTGAGCTCCTGCTGCATGACTGCTACCTGCACGTCACAGACAAACAGCACTGTCAACATCAATTTATTCAGGGATAATGACTATGTACATTATCAAATAATGTATTTAGGCCTCTTGTTGATAAAAAAATCATAAATAATTTATCATGATAATATATAATTGATCATTTGCTGAAATTTGCCTGAAATCTACATATTTATCTGAGACCATTTCCCATTTTTCTAATTTTAATGAAGGTCAAACAAAGTAGTTTCGCTTTCACAACAAAACACACAGCGGCACACACGGCGGGCTAGAGTGAACAGAGGCGGCGGGCTTGAGAACAGCGCGGCTGGCGGATTCGACGAAGGAGCGGCCGGGCAGGCTTGCGGCAACCACATGTGACGACCCCTGGCTGGACTCCGCTCTACTTTTCGCTTTCACAACGAAACACACAGCACCTTCACGACATGGCGGCGGCGGCAAGAACCATACTACAGCGAGAATAAAAGTTACTCCTTCTTTCTTTGCGTGCCACATCGTGACGTAGACATGTGGGGGCGTGTTAGAACGAGCTGTTTTAGTTAGGTGTGGTTGACTCTTAACTTTTATAAAGAATATCTCTTTGGATTTGAGACTTTAGTCTTTGCAACTTTATAGATCTTCTTTATGCACCAAGAGCTTGTGACACTCCAAAGAGAAAGGAAAAATTGAAATCGCATCATATGACCCCTTTAATTAAACTCTAGAGAATTGTATGAATGCACAGATAAATAAATTCATAAATAAAGATAAAAAATGTAGGCATTGATGCAGTATCATAAGAAAAATAATCACAATATACGATTGTATTTGTACAGCTCTATGTATTGTAAATGTTTTCTGTTCTTTTTACAAAAACATTTTTTTTGTCTTTTTTACACATTTTTTAGAGTTTAGTCTTTGCAACTTTACAGATCTTCTTTATGCACCAAGAGCTTGTAACACTCCAAAGAGAAAGGAACAATTGAAATCGCATCATATGAACACTTTAATAAACAGTTTGAAAATGTATGTTTTTTTATTTAAAAGATTTGAGAGAAAAATCTAATATTTACAATTTAAATATAAATAACAAACAATTATGGCAAAATTATAAAAAAAATTATATTGTGTTATACAATTATAAATTAATAATTAAAATTCAGCGGGTAAAATAAGTATTGAACACGTCACCATTTTTCTCAGTATATATATTTCTAAAGGTGCTGTTGACATGAAATTTTCACCAGATGTCGATAACAACCCAAGTAATCCATACATACAAAGAAAACAAAACAAATAATTTCAGAAATTAAGTTCTGTGTAATAAAGTGGAATGACACAGGGAAAAAGTATTGAACACATGAAGAAAGGGAGGTGCAAAAAGGCATGGAAAGCCAAGACACCAGCTGAAATCTATCAGTAATTAGAAAGCAATCCTGCCCCTCATCAGTGGAAATTAATATTAGCTGGTTTAGTCCCAACTGATGGCCTATAAAAAGGTGTCTCATTATCAACATGTCACACAAGAAACATTTCATGATGGGTAAAAGCAAAGAGCTCTTTCAAGACCGTCACAACCTTATTGTTGCAAAAATGATGGCATTGGTTACAGAAGGATTTCTATACTTCTGAATGTTCCAGTGAGCACTGTTGGGGCCATAATCCTGAAGTGGAAAGAACATAATTTCACCATAAACCGACCACGTCCAGGTGCTCCTTGCAAGATTTCTGACAGAGCAGTGAAAAAAAATTATCAGAAGGTTTTCTAAGAGCCAATGACCACTTGTGGAGAGCTTCAGAAAGACCTGGAATTAGCAGGTACAATTGTTTCAAAGAAAACAATAAAGTAATGCACTCAACCTGTATACAAGGCACGCTCACCACGCAAGGCTCTATTGCTGAAGAAAAAGCATGTAGAAGCTCGTTTAAAGTTTGCTGCACAACATTTAGACAAGCCTGTGAAATACTGGGAGAATATAGTCTGGTCCGAGGAGACCAAAATTAAACTCTTTGGATGCCATAATACACACCATATTTGGAGGTCAAATGGCACTGCTCATCACCCCAAAAACATCATGGTGTGGCACTGGCAAAATTCATATAATTGAAGGAAGGATGAATGGAAAAATGTACCGAGACATTCTTGATAAAAATCTGCTGCCATCTACCAGGATGATGAAGATGAATCAAGGGTGGACCGTGGACATTTCAGCAAGACAATGATCCCAAACACACAGCCAAGGAAACTCTCAGTTGGGTTTCAGAAAAAGAAAATAAAGCTGCTAGAATGGCCCAGCTAATCACCTGACTTGAATCCAATAGAAAATCTATGGAAAGAACTACAGATAAGAGTTCATAGAGGAGGCCCACAGAACCTTCAAGATTTGAAGACTGTTTATGTGAAAGAATGGGCCAAAATCACACCTGAGCAATGCATGCGACTAGTTTCTCCATACAGGAGGCATCTTGAAGCTCTCATTACCAACAAAGGCTTTTGTACAAAGTAATAAATAAATTTCAGTATGCATGTTCAATATTTTTCCCCTGGGTCATTCCATTTTATTACTCAGAACTTAATTTCTGAACTTATTTGTTTTGTTTTCTTTGTATGTATGGATTACTTGGATTTTTACCGAGATCTGGTGAAATTTTCATGTCAACAGCACCTTTAGAAATATATTTACTGAAAAAAATGGTGACGTGTTCAATACTTATTTTACCCGCTGTTTATAAATAGAGAGAGAGAGTGTAAATATTTGATTTTCAATCAAATTTTTTCTCACTAAACTCACAGACATAAAAGATATATATCAAGATTGTACATTAACAAAACAGAATTAATTATATGTATTGTATGTATTTCAGGACATGTATTACAACACTGATTGCAGATGAACATAAAGAAGAATAAAGAGAGTATTGTGAAATGACTGATGAAGCGTTCGCATTTTCCGTCTCACCTGAGAGGCAGCAAAGTCAAGTTTCTGCAAGCCGATTATGTATCGATTCCTGAGCTCATTCACCTCACTGCGTTTGGAGTTAAGCAAGACTTTAAAGGTCAGGATGAGCTCCAGGTAGGAAGTAGGAGTCACGTAATTATGTCTGCGCAGCTGGGAGTAGTAGCGCTCAGACAACTCTCTGACACTCTCCTGGAACATCTTACACATTTCCACCACCCTGAGAATAAAGCAAAACTGACAATGTAAGTCTTTATATCTGAACACTATCAACTGTTAAAGGAAATAAATGCAGGCTCATGTCCGCACTCCATCCTGATGTTGTCTTCCATGTCCAAATCCTCAAGGAACTTGTTGGCGACCATCTCCAGAGCGTCTTTGGGCCAGGCCTGAAACCAGTCTATGGTGCAGCAGTTAATCAAAGATGGGAACATCCTCAGACGATTGCGGAAGCCTTCACCTATTGGGCTCATTGCTATTGGACAAACATGAAAACAGTTTTACACAAGCTTACAGAAGTATACACCAAAATATTTTATATATATGGTTATATATTATTTGTATATATTTACATCTGTTTATATTATGTATATATGTATGCTGTTTTTGTTTTGTGTATATGTTAAGTTTCTGCTTATGTTGGACAGTACACTCCTGTAATATTTTTAATCTCAGAGAGGTTTTTCTCCTTGTTAAATGAATATAAACATAAATAGTAGTTAAATAAATAAAATATAATATAATTAGGGCTGTTAGTTGATCAAATTTTTTTATCTAATTAATTACATGATGTGTCGATTAATTAATCGCAAAATAAATTTGACTGAAATTACCCAACAAAATATTATTTAAAGCTATTTTTGTGTTAAATGCGTTTTATTTGCATTTTATTGCTCTTTTGTTGGTTTTGATTGCTTCTATTTTGCTCATTTGTAAGTCGCTTTGGATAAAAGCATCTACTAAATGTAAATGTAAATGAGAAAGTATCAAGCAGACATTACAAATTGTAACTTAGGAAGAAATATTTTATCTGATTCAACAAAAAAAAATTATTACACATAAACATTTAGGCTACAACATCTTAACATAAACTATGGAACATAAAAGAAGATCATTTGAGAAACATCAGTATTTTTTGTTCATAAAATTAAAGTCATTGGTAACCAAAACAGATTAGTTACCAACAGTGTTCAAAATATCTTCTTTTATGTTCCACAAAAGAAAAGTTTGAAACAAGAGTAAATGATGAAAAAAATTAAATGTTTTGGGTGAACTATCCCTTTAATGTTTTTATTATTATTATTATTATACTCTAAATAAGAAACTACATCTGCCAGCAGGTGGCGATAAATGTCTTCATTCGATTCATTCAATCGGCTGATTCATTCAGGAATTCAGTAAACGGCTCTCTTAATGAATGGAGCTTTGAATCATTGATTCACACGATTCGTTCAAATTGCGGATTTTTTTCAGAAACTAAACACCTCTGTGTTGCTCGAAGACGTGCAAGACAATTCTGCTGTGACTTTAAAGGTAATATGTTCACTGCAAAATTGAGCAAAAACACAATGTTGTGTTTAAAATAGAACACAATATCAACTTATTTACTGAACTGTTGTATAAAATCACATTTAAACTTGTGATATTTGGGACAAAATCAGTACTCGTGTGATATTGCTCTCCCTGCTTGTGTGTATGATATTGTAAGATATAAATATGAGACAAAAACTTTTTTGGGGGACATTTTTTGCCCCAGTATCTTGAATTGTAGGGCATAACTGCATTTACGGAGTTGTTGCCCTGCATCATATTTGTCAACAGTCAACTGTATGAAATGTAAGATGTGTAAGAGAAATGTAAGGTTTGGGGGCGTGGCCAGTGCATTAACTGCGTTAAAATATTTTAATCACGTTATTTTTTCATAACTAATTAATTAAGTTAACGCGTTAAACTGACAGCCCTAAATATAATATAATATAATATAATATAATATATAATATAATCAGTACCAAGAACTATATGAAGGTTGGCTTTAACTCTGTCGATAAAGAAGTTGTACATGGAGAGCGGTGTGACGTCCATCTTCTTCCCTTCCATCTGGGCTGTTCCCTGCATTTTTTCGATGATGTCAGCACGCTCGTCTGCTGGGAAGATGTTTGGCACGTCTCCTGTGTTCAGCAGCATGTTGATGTCCTCAACGAAGGCTTCGTCCTTGATCTGGTTGTCGCTAAAGAGAAACGTTGTTTTCTTCCCCTCTATCCCAGCTTTCAGCATCAGGTGCTTCAGATTGTCACGCCAGTCCGACATACTGTAGTTCTTGGTCAGTTCGATCTGGAACAGCTCGTAGTCATTGATGAAGGTGGCGAGTTTGGTGGTGCTCTGTCGCCCCGATCCGCCAATGCCAACCAGCAGCAGGTGGCCGTTGTCTTGTTTCAGCACACGGCAGATTCGTGAGATGTGTTCGATGGCGAACTGAAACATGACGAGGTTCATGGGCGCTTTGCTGATGTTATTAAACTCCTTGAGGTAGAAATCCATCACCTCCGTTAATGTACTCAGATCTGTGATCTCGTCGTACGTTTTACTGGCCGAGTCTGGTTTGGCGTAGTCACCAAAAAACAGGCTGCGAATGCTGTCATCTTCAACTTTACCAGACAGAGTGAGATGACTGAGGAGCTGGATAGGGGAAAAGAGACATCTTATTAAAATAATAATTAAACTAAAGCCAATTTTACAACAAGAGATACTAGATAACCAAATCCATTTTATTTAAAGTTTCCCTTGAAAAAGAATGAAAAATGCCCAGGTCATATTTCACCTCAAAATTAAAAGAAAGAAATAACTTAATCTTCTTATTTACCCAACCTACAACAAATACACATACACAGAAATATTTAATCATGATTTTCAGCTTGTGTAAAAAAACAGTTACCACACAGTGGCCACAAAAACTATTTGTTACTTGGTCTGTTTTTATTCTAAATATATGTCACCAAAATATTGGTTTTATATCTTGATATCTAATGCAATCGCATTGAGATATTTTTATATCAGATTTAAACTTTCTTCATGAACACACCTGTAGAAAGAGGCATCAAAACCATTACTGAAGTGCCAGTCGGTGATGGATGTGAAGATGTTGCTTAGAGTCTCATCATCGAATGTATCAATCGATATAATATTTAGGTGACGTGTAAATCGTCCTGTGAGGGAGGAAAGATGCAAAACAGTCATACTGTTTATTATTTTAACAGCATGTGCACAATCCTTCTCACCAGGGTTCTGTGCTCATCTGCCAGGGTCTCAGGTAATGTGTTCATGTAGGAGTCTCTCAGAGGCATCCAGCCCAACTGATGCGGCTCCATGTAGATCATACCGCATCTAAACATAACACACACACATACACTCTCTATGACAAGACAACAAACACATTGAAATAAAAAATAAAAAAACTCTTGGAAAGTAAAACCAAAAGCAAATTTTATGCACATATGAATGTAGGGAGAGTCTATTAACAGGATTTAAAAAATGTTTTTTTATACATTTTATATGTTTAATATAAAAATTAAATATGCTATTGCTAATAAAAAAAAATTGGAAGAAAATGAATGGGCTCTGTATTGTTTTATTTTAACAATGTAGAGCTGAGTGTTCGTTGTTCACCTGCTCACAGTAGCAGGTGACGCCTGCTCCAGATCCGCAGGCTCAAAGATCAGACTCATTTTAGGACTCATCTGAATGATCTCACCACTCATCAGGCACAGCTGTTCAACAGCAAAACACATCAGACACCAGCACTGAACCTCAAGCACTTCAGACATGTTCACTGCAATATTAAAATGTAAATGTACCTTCTTGTTATCGTCCAAAACGGTGTTCATGTTCTCAATCCAGACCGCGTCGATGGGCCCATCGAATATTATCCACTGGCGGTCGTCTGAGGTGCACTGGGCCTGCTGTCTGAATGAGGTGGCCAAAACGCCATCTGACCACTCGTGACTCACTGGATCAAAACAGCCATACAGCTGCCCCATAGTGATCGCCTTCGGATTAATGATGCGGAAATCTACCGCAAACTCTTCCATCAGACCTTCTATACAGACAAATAACATACACACATACTTGGTTATGATTCCATGTCATTTCAGCAAATCATATTTGTACACAACTGTTCAAAAATGTAAATAATTTTGAAAAAGACGTGTCTCATGTTCACCAAGGCTGCATTTATTTGATGAAAAATAGAGTAAAAGCAGTAATATTGTGAAATATTACTGTAGTTTCAAATAATTGTTTTTATTTGAATATATTGTAAAATGTAATTTATTGCTGTGATCAAAGCTGAATTTTCAGAATCATTATTCCAGTCTTCAGTGTCACATGATCCTTCAAAAATCATTCTAATATGCTCATTCACTGCTCAAGAAACTTTTTTTTTTATTCTCAATGTTGAAAACATTGACAGTTTTTGCTGCTTAATATTTTTTGTAGAAACTGTGTTTCCCTACTATTCAAAATTTGGATTAGGTTAGATTTTTAAAAGAATTCAGCTCTGCCATAACACACACAGGGGATCATTACATTCAGAAATGTTTATTATTTTAACAGCATGTGCACAATCCTTCTCACCAGGGTTCTGTGCTCATCTGCCAGGGTCTCAGGTAATGTGTTCATGTAGGAGTCTCTCAGAGGCATCCAGCCCAACTGATGCGGCTCCATGTAGATCATACCGCATCTAAACATAACACACACACATACACTCTCTATGACAAGACAACAAACACATTGAAATAAAAAATAAAAAAACTCTTGGAAAGTAAAACCAAAAGCAAATTTTATGCACATATGAATGTAGGGAGAGTCTATTAACAGGATTTAAAAAATGTTTTTTTATACATTTTATATGTTTAATATAAAAATTAAATATGCTATTGCTAATAAAAAAAAATTGGAAGAAAATGAATGGGCTCTGTATTGTTTTACTTTAACAATGTAGAGCTGAGTGTTCGTTGTTCACCTGCTCACAGTAGCAGGTGACGCCTGCTCCAGATCCGCAGGCTCAAAGATCAGACTCATTTTAGGACTCATCTGAATGATCTCACCACTCATCAGGCACAGCTGTTCAACAGCAAAACACATCAGACACCAGCACTGAACCTCAAGCACTTCAGACATGTTCACTGCAATATTAAAATGTAAATGTACCTTCTTGTTATCGTCCAAAACGGTGTTCATGTTCTCAATCCAGACCGCGTCGATGGGCCCATCGAATATTATCCACTGGCGGTCGTCTGAGGTGCACTGGGCCTGCTGTCTGAATGAGGTGGCCAAAACGCCATCTGACCACTCGTGACTCACTGGATCAAAACAGCCATACAGCTGCCCCATAGTGATCGCCTTCGGATTAATGATGCGGAAATCTACCGCAAACTCTTCCATCAGACCTTCTATACAGACAAATAACATACACACATACTTGGTTATGATTCCATGTCATTTCAGCAAATCATATTTGTACACAACTGTTCAAAAATGTAAATAATTTTGAAAAAGACGTGTCTCATGTTCACCAAGGCTGCATTTATTTAATGAAAAATAGAGTAAAAGCAGTAATATTGTGAAATATTACTGTAGTTTCAAATAATTGTTTTTATTTGAATATATTGTAAAATGTAATTTATTGCTGTGATCAAAGCTGAATTTTCAGAATCATTATTCCAGTCTTCAGTGTCACATGATCCTTCAAAAATCATTCTAATATGCTCATTCACTGCTCAAGAAACTTTTTTTTTTATTCTCAATGTTGAAAACATTGACAGTTTTTGCTGCTTAATATTTTTTGTAGAAACTGTGTTTCCCTACTATTCAAAATTTGGATTAGGTTAGATTTTTAAAAGAATTCAGCTCTGCCATTTCACAATATTACTGTTTTTACTGCATTTTTGATCAAATAAATGCCATCTTGGTGAGCAGAGAGACTTCTTTTAAGGACATTAAAAATCGTAATTATTCCAAACTTTTAACCGGTAGTGTGTATGAACACCAAAAAAAAAGAAGAAAGAATAAAGAATAAAAATATTATGGCTTGATACCCTTATAAAGGTCTCCCAAAGCTCCAGCCAGAACTTTATAAGCTGAAGTTTTTCCACCCATAGGCTCGCCAACAATCATGAAGCCGTGTCTGACCAGCATCATCTCGTACACCTGCACACACGATAAAATTTATCAACTGATTACTTTTTTCATTTAACAGTTTCAGCTATAAAAACAAGCCTCAGTTGTCATAATATTATCAAATATAGCATTTATTTTTGTAAGAACTTCAAATACAGCTCACCCAATCAGATTATAGTGTTTAAACTGAATTTTATTTACATTTACATTTAGTCATTTAGCAGACTAAATAATTTAATTAATTAATTAGCACAGAATTTTATAATAGTTTTATATTTAAAATAGCAGTGCTCATATATAAACTACCTTCTAAATGTTTAAATCTAAAGGCAAAATTTGAGAAAACAAAGAAATATGAATGATTATAAAGATGTGACAGATTGAATAGATAGATGAAATGGCATTGAGCAGATTCTGTACTTGTATAATTTTGCCAATGAACCACGGTACAGGCTGCAGTTTCATCTTGACGATGTTGTCATCTAAAGCTTTTAACAGTAACTCATAATCTGGTTTGGGCAGCACCACTCCAGGAAACAGATCAGTGATGATTCCCTAAAACACACACAAACACAAATCAATAACCACATGCAAAGTCATACAAAATTAATATGTAATTGGCATCTACACACCTGAAACAGTGGTAAATCCTGCGCGAGGAACTTGGCCATGTTGACATCCATGAGAGCTCTCAGCAGCAAAACGCTCTCGTCCTCTTCTGGGTATTTGAGTTTCAGGTTTCCCGCCGCAGTCAGGACTGATTTTACCGCACGCATCCCGTAATCGTAGTGCGGTTGAGACGAGAGCTGCTCAGAGCACAAGCGATACGTCGCCACAATCTTCTGAGCCAGGCTGGAAAACACAAAACAAAGTGAAACAACTGGAACCTTTTCCGCAAAATTAAATATGAATTAGTTTAACTGTTTGACTAGAAATTATTTTACCTCCGGGATGCTGTGAATCCCATCGAATAAAGTGATATCTCTCCAATCAGTCCATAATCTGGAACCATCATTGCAACTGTACGGAACAAAGCCTACAAACATGCAAGTACATACACACAAAACTTAAACATATAAATGAATGAATGGACCATGGCATAAGAAAACAATTTCCCGTAAAACTCTAAATTTATCTCAAAATGAGCCAAAAAACAGGAAGCAAAGTTACAAGATGGTGTATTTCTCTGTAATTGTGAATGAGCGTGTTTGTTTTTGGTTACTTTCAGGTTATCAGGCAGCTCTGCTCTGCCTGCGTATCCTGGGTTCATGGTGATAAACACACAGCAGGTCGGATTGAGAGAGAGCTCGGTTCCCTCGAACATAAACGTCTTCATGTTTCGCATTATGGCCTGCTGAATACTCAAAATCTGCTGGGCGACCACAGACAACACCTCTACCTGACAGAGTGCAACAAACAAGGAGAGACAAACTAATAATTGTTAACTATAAAGTAGTATTAGTTTAATTGACTAATTTGGCTATCACGTCATTACCGACCTCTATCCGGTTGAACTCGTCGAAACATGCCCACGCTCCGGACTGTGCTAGACCCTTGAAAAATTTACTCATTGCTTTGTAGTCCAGACCATCAGAACAGTTGAACACCACACACTAAACACACATTTACACACACACATACATTTGTCACTTACATACAATAAAATGAACTTATCAGAATTACCTGAACCAGCATAATCAGTGTTTAGACTGAAATAGTAGCTTTATATATGTCATAAAAAAATATTGTGAGCACCTGTTTGGCGAGCGCTTTGGCCAGATCTTTGGTCGTCTCTGTTTTTCCAGTTCCCGCAGGACCTTCTGGAGCTCCGCCAAGATTCAGCTTCAGAGCGCCCATCAGAGTCCTGTAGACCAATCAGCATTCAGTAGGTATGTTTACATGCTCTTTTTTTCTATCAGTATTTTTTTTTTACAAAGAGAAAGTCTGAATTTGTGTCTGAAGTAAATATTTAGTAAATATCGACTGACCAGTTCGTAAGACATAAATAAACGTACTCATGTTCATATGTTGTAAAGCGTATGAAAAGCTCTGCCTCATGGCACTGACGTAAGCAAGATATTTTTGGATCCGATTGAGAAAACAGTCTCTGTACTTGTATTCTTCACAATGGCATATAAAATGATCATAATAAAATATTATCAAACACATGCTAACACAGATTATATGTCAGAGCACCTGTAGCAGCGGTCAGTTAGTGGTGTTATGACCAGACGTGGCGAGTTGCCGAGATATTCATATCCGTATCTGATCACGGTGGTGATCATCCGCAGCATGACCTCTCCGTCCTCCCAGAAATACCGCAGCTGGGAAATCCACTGGAAATCATTTAGAGACGAAACGCCATCCTGTGCCAGCTTGCACACAACATCACGTGCTGCATGGGATAAAGAGGCAAAACTCATGAACTATACAGACAATACAGAGACAACATGCCAGAATGACACTTACCATGAACATCAATGACAATGAGAGCTCCCAGAGTCATCCTGGCCCCACCTGGCAACTTCCCTCTTACCAGCTCGACTATATCAGCGATCTGAGCATTACTCTGTTCAACATAAGCCTGAAACACATGCAAACACAATATTTATACTTTCTGACCCATCATTGCAACTGTACGGAACAAAGCCTACAAACATGCAAGTACATACACACAAAACTTAAACATATAAATGAATGAATGGACCATGGCATAAGAAAACAATTTCCCGTAAAACTCTAATTTATCTCAAAATGAGCCAAAAAACAGGAAGCAAAGTTACAAGATGGTGTATTTCTCTGTAATTGTGAATGAGCGTGTTTGTTTTTGGTTACTTTCAGGTTATCAGGCAGCTCTGCTCTGCCTGCGTATCCTGGGTTCATGGTGATAAACACACAGCAGGTCGGATTGAGAGAGAGCTCGGTTCCCTCGAACATAAACGTCTTCATGTTTCGCATTATGGCCTGCTGAATACTCAAAATCTGCTGGGCGACCACAGACAACACCTCTACCTGACAGAGTGCAACAAACAAGGAGAGACAAACTAATAATTGTTAACTATAAAGTAGTATTAGTTTAATTGACTAATTTGGCTGTCACATCATTACCGACCTCTATCCGGTTGAACTCGTCGAAACATGCCCACGCTCCGGACTGTGCTAGACCCTTGAAAAATTTACTCATTGCTTTGTAGTCCAGACCATCAGAACAGTTGAACACCACACACTAAACACACATTTACACACACACATACATTTGTCACTTACATACAATAAAATGAACTTATCAGAATTACCTGAACCAGCATAATCAGTGTTTAGACTGAAATAGTAGCTTTATATATGTCATAAAAAAATATTGTGAGCACCTGTTTGGCGAGCGCTTTGGCCAGATCTTTGGTCGTCTCTGTTTTTCCAGTTCCCGCAGGACCTTCTGGAGCTCCGCCAAGATTCAGCTTCAGAGCGCCCATCAGAGTCCTGTAGACCAATCAGCATTCAGTAGGTATGTTTACATGCTCTTTTTTTCTATCAGTATTTTTTTTTTACAAAGAGAAAGTCTGAATTTGTGTCTGAAGTAAATATTTAGTAAATATCGACTGACCAGTTCGTAAGACATAAATAAACGTACTCATGTTCATATGTTGTAAAGCGTATGAAAAGCTCTGCCTCATGGCACTGACGTAAGCAAGATATTTTTGGATCCGATTGAGAAAACAGTCTCTGTACTTGTATTCTTCACAATGGCATATAAAATGATCATAATAAAATATTATCAAACACATGCTAACACAGATTATATGTCAGAGCACCTGTAGCAGCGGTCAGTTAGTGGTGTTATGACCAGACGTGGCGAGTTGCCGAGATATTCATATCCGTATCTGATCACGGTGGTGATCATCCGCAGCATGACCTCTCCGTCCTCCCAGAAATACCGCAGCTGGGAAATCCACTGGAAATCATTTAGAGACGAAACGCCATCCTGTGCCAGCTTGCACACAACATCACGTGCTGCATGGGATAAAGAGGCAAAACTCATGAACTATACAGACAATACAGAGACAACATGCCAGAATGACACTTACCATGAACATCAATGACAATAAGAGCTCCCAGAGTCATCCTGGCCCCACCTGGCAACTTCCCTCTTACCAGCTCGACTATATCAGCGATCTGAGCATTACTCTGTTCAACATAAGCCTGAAACACAATATTTATACTTTCTGACCAGCTCCACTCAATCAAATCTGCTCTGAATGAGTTTGTGTGCACTTGTGCTCACGGGAAGAGTGTTGTTCTGTATGGCGTCAGATACTTCACTGGTCCAGAAGATGCAGGACGCACAGATCACGACCTGACCAGGCCACAGCAGCACCCACTTCTTCCTAGGCATCTGAAACAAGCAGAATCAAACACACGTGATGGGCTGATCGTATTGTACATGTGCAGTGTTTGTGTGTGATTATACCTCTGAGTACTGCTCCATTCCTTGTTTTATGACACCTCTGATGCTCATCAGCATTGTGTTTTCAACCTGCAGAAGCCACTTCTCAACCATTCCCTAAAAACATGATACAAATTTGAAAACGTGGGTAAATTCTCATGACGATTAATCACTTTTCCCCTGAAAGTTCTCATTACTACAATACATTTTGTGTAAATCCCATTAATCTCAACTTTTAAAAACATGCAAAGCGATGATTATTTAAATGAACATATTAAAGTCTATACAACAATTATGTACAAATACTGTAAAATTAAATTTAAATTATATATACATTTTTGAAATTATGGTTTTGAGAATTGTGAGGAAAATGTTAGAAAAATAATGTCACACTGCACAAAAATCTTAATGGTCCTAAAATAAGGCTTCATGTTTTCATGGAGCATATCCATAGAGTTTAGCTATCTATTTTAGGCAAAAATGTATATAAATAAAGGAAACAGCATATTTCAGGCGTACTCCATCTGTACCTTGGCTTTAGCTGGGTAGATGGTCTCTATTAAGGGAACAATCTCTTTCTCTGAGCTGATCATTCCTGTGATCTCCAGATCAGGGGTGAATTCTAGCTTAGCGATGCCCTCAAAACACTTCTTAAGATGAGGCTGGACACGCAGCGGATCCTTCGTCTCAGACAAGATCTCCAACATCTCATCATTAGACAGGAAGAAAAACCTAGACAGTGAGAAATAAAGTTTAAGAGACCAATGATTAATAGTGACTCTGAACACTAAACTGAGATACAAGAAGGTGTTATAACATCATTAAGAGTTAGATCTGAAAGTTTAATCGTACCGAGGGAAGAAGAGTCTCTTTGTTTCCAGGTATGAGTTCAGACCCTGCTGTATTTCCTCCAGGAAAGTGTTGGACTCCTGAAGGCGACCCAACATGTTGGGCTGCTCTGTGGCCACCAGCGCACGTGTGTCCTTCAACTGTTAAAACATTTAACACGAATATGAACATCTTGTTTATTTATTGATCATTAGTTGTTGCTGGTCATTAGTTGTAGATACAGTGATACAGCTAATACCGATCACACACACACCGCTTCAGCGACAATGTTTTTCCAGTAACTGTCTACGATGGCAAACTTGCGTCCGTTCTCTGGCATCTGGGCTATGATGTCCTCTGAGCTGAAGATGGGCTCTAGATACATCCACATGCTTTGACACTGCAACATTGCATCCAATATATCCTGTATGCTCTGCAACTTCTCCTCCCAGGTCTAAAGAGAGACAAAGCAACAGAACTATATAAAGGGTCAAGGTTCATATTATTATCATTTGATATGGTCATATTATTTACAGGATCATACTGTATTGTGTACAACTAAAAACCAGAATATTTTTATTGTGCAGAACTAAACTGCACAAGTTGTCGTGGGCACTGTTGTTACTCATTCCATGAAAAGCTTTAATCATAATAGAAGTTATTTACATAAAGACTTCTTAAAGGTACACTAGTACAGTCAAAAATGTATTTTGTGGCAGGAAATAAATGGACTTGATTAGTAAAATTAAAATGCTTTTAACACAAATCTGTGCAAGTTATGAACCTTTGCATCGGCCTCGATTGGCTTGATGAATGGAGATCCTCTCATAGTCTGAGTCTTGATAATGTGATCGTCCAACAGCAGCTGAATATCATCTACTGCCGATAAAACACTTGTACCCTTTATGGACAAATATACATGCACAAATGCATAATAAGACAGAGAGAAAGAGAGAAGAATAAAATTGTTAAAATAAACAGTAGCTTTATGTAACAAGCAAAGTCATTTTAATGATAATAATTTTTTATATATCAGTAGTGATGCACCAAAATGTTTTTTTTCCCCTTAAACACGAAGTTTAATTTAGAGAATAAATTATATTTAACAATAAATTAACCAAACGTATTTAATAATCAACACTCAAATAAGAACAGAGTTGTATATAAACATTTAAATTACATAAAATTTAAATAGCCAGTTTTATATCAACTTTCAAACACACATTAAAGTGTGTTTTACCGTGTCCTTATATGGGGAAAACCCAAAGCGGAGCTCAGCCCACTCTTGTTTCATTTTCTCCAGAGACTTTTCCAGAGAGAATTCCTTACTTGCGGAAGCACCGATTTCCTCCAGCCTGCAGACAGAGAGAGATTCATAAAAGAGTCAATCTGACACATTCAGACTCGCACTGCACTGAGCAACATGGTTTCACAAATAATAAGTTTTTTACAACCACAAATAATTTTAGATTGTCAAAGATCAGCCTTACTTGTCTGAATATTCTGAAAATCCGAGCTCCACCATCTTGAGGAGTGGGGTGTCCTTGTCCGGCTTAACATCAAATCCCACTATATTACTGATCTGATACCAGCCAAAAAAAATAAAAATAAAAATTGCATTCATCAAAATGAGTAAATGCAACTTTAATGGCAAATATTAACAGTAACAAAAGCAAAAAAAAAAAAAAAAAAAAAGAAATAAATAAGACCTAAATTGAAGGACTAAATCAGGAAAAAACTGTATA